AGCCGGGGCTTCCCCTCACGCTAGCCCGGCCTCAGCTCACTCTATTCCGGCCTCAGCGCACACTAAGCCGGGGCTTCCAGGGCGTAACATTTCCGTCTCACGTTTGAGGTATTCGGCCAATCACAACGCATTGGATAGCTGGCCAATCAGAGCACACCTCGCTTTTTCAGACCAATGAGTTTTGTAAAAATCGACGCGTTTCAAAAAGGCGGGGCATAGAGGAGAAACAATAATGTACAGTATGTGGAAAATAATGTGTTTTTTAACTTTAAACCGCATAAACACATTTCATTACACCAAATACACACAATAATGTTATTTTTAGCAGCATCATATGACCCCTTTAAGCTTCAATTACTTTGATTAGCCTGTTGAAACCTAATGTGACCTGTAGATGGCAGCAGAGATCAAGTCTTGTAATGTTCTCCATATAATTGCCTGGTGCTTCTGTAAGGAATTTCAGCTAGGATTAAATGACAAAGTAAATTAATTTTATCTCTTGATTTATTTGGCTAAATAACATTTTCTTTATGTACACTACCACTGACAAGTTTTTGGTAAGTAAGATTTTTATGTTTGTTTTTGAAAAACTTTTTTTTTTTTTTTTTTATCTTTTGAAAAAAAAAAAAAAAAGTATCACAGTTTCCAGAAAACTGCAGCACAACTGTTTTCATCATTGATAATAATAAGGAATGTGAATTTGTGAAGGATCAGGTGGCACTGAAGACTGGAGTAATGGCTGCTGAAAATTCACAGGAATAAATCACATTTTTGGAAATATATTAAAATAGAAAACAGTCATTTTAAACTGTATTAATATATAACTTTATCACTGTTTTTACTGTATTTTTGATCAAATAAAGTCAAGTTTGCTTTATTGTTTGCATAAATGCAGCCATGGTGAGCATAAGAGACTTTTCTCAAAAAATAAAAAATTCTTACAGACTTTTGAACGGTAGTTTCATTGTCAACTTGACAATGAAATGGACATCAGTTAGGCACCTAACATGACATGAAAGCAAAGTGAAAAGCAATCAGGATCAACACTCTAACATAAGTACACAGAGTTATTTTTATTCATATGTCTTAGGTCAGTGGCAAAGAAGAGCAAATCTGTTTCTCAGACACTAAAGAAAGAGGGGGTTCTTACTTCAGAGCTGGAAATGGCTCTAAAGAACTGCACAACGGCTGGTGATATAGACCATGTGGTGAGA